TATTGAACCAGTTGTACTGACAGGGAGGCTTGCCAGGGCTCTTTAGCTTTTTTTCATTCGAGTCTTGTTAAATTATGTTGTCTTTGAGTACTTTAGGAAGCTTCTTCACTTTCATCATGATTGCTGCTTGTTACATGAAATCTTCCCAAGCAATGGCAACATCTTTTATAATGATGCCAGGTGCAATTTGCACAAGGACATTTTTATTTTTATAGCATGTAGAGCTTAAGTGATTTTTATTTTTTTTAACATGTATATGTACTTTTTTTCCTTATCAATTTTGTTTGGTAAAAAAATCTTTGTGTTTTTCTGTTTTTGGACATGATGGCGCATTAAGAGTGACTGTTCCTTGAGAAAGTTATTGTGACACTAGATATGTGCTAAAGGTCCACGTGGAATATTTCATCCTGCTCCCAAAGAAAACCTGCACCATTTGCCATTTGTCCTGTTCCCTAATCATTTTGTCCCGCTCCCACCCACAGTCCTGTTTATCTCGTTTCCATCTACATTAGTCATGATTGAACTTGACTGCCATAGGTGGCCTTTAGTCAGCTTTATTGTTTATGTTATTCGTCTTTATTAAAAACACTTTCCGTTTGACTTTCTGAAGATCCATCGTTTCTGCAACCTACAAGAATGAAATTCACATGATTCATGTGAGTGTTTGTTTCTATTTAGAACTAGTTTAGAACCTGTTTAGAATGAGTCTATTACTTTTTGTTATGTTGCTGTTAAATATTATTTATATATGCCAATTATTAAATGAGAGTTATCATTTCATTTTGGCTTTTCATTAATTTGCAGATTCCTCTACACGTGGTGTACTGCTTGCACCCACACTGGGCTGGTTAACCACCACCGTGACACAAATTAGCCCCAAAATTCAACATACTGTGGTGGGTCCTGCAGAATGTAGACCTCTACTCCAAACTATGCCACCAGACATAGTGGTGCAGCCTGTAGTACTGAAGCTTATTTTAAAGGAATTTAAGGTATTAAGGAATTTAAGGAATGGTTTGGCAAAATAGCAAATTTACATAGTTGTCCAGCTCAAATGTAATCAGTCAGCCAGGGCATGTGTGGTTTGTTTTGTACTGGAGATCCAAGACTAAAAGACTTTGGGTGACACAGACCTCCAGTATTTGTTCTAGTGCAGCTATTTTGTCCTTTCAACAAAAATCAAACCACCTTGGGAGCCACAACATTTTATGTCCATTTTACCATCTCGGCTGTAAATATGTCTCAGTATGTGCTGATTTACTAGTACAGGCTAAAAATAAAATATAAATGAAAACACAGACTTACTTTGTTCTGTTTTAAGCTTTAGCTCAGCTGTAGCTGCTTTTCTCACATCTCTGGCAGGAAACGTTTCCACAAAAGTAGAATAATTTCTTGTAAAATGTCTTTCAATATTCGACTTTTTACGAGGCTGAAGTCAGCTTCTCGTTCGCCAGCTTCTTGTTCTAGTTTTCCTGTTCCACATTAAATGGTGCCTGAGGCACCATATTGTAACTGCTGCACCACTTAAGGTGGAACGGGAAAATTCGAACAAGAAGCTGGCGAACGAGAAGCGGACTTCAGCTTCGCAACTTTTTGTTTGACAGTTTCTCGTTTTAGATTCAATGTATCAGGAAACCAGCTGGAGTGCTTACAAATACAAATAAGTCCATTTGTCTCCAAATTATGGATGTTCGTCTTAAATCTTTCTCTTTGTCTTTTCCTTAGCTAGGCGAGATTGTTCTCTCTGTTGCTGTGTGACCAGCAGTCTGCGCTCCAACCTTCAGGGTTAAAGGATGAATTAACTCCAGCATTTAAGACCATTTATTGTTAAAACTGTGTTAGAACGATCAGCAGAGCTTTATTTGACTGCAAAGGAGGATTAGAGGATTGTACTGGACAACATTACGAGCCCTTGCCAGCATTGCAAGGGTTGTTTTAATTTGTGTGAATTTAGGATTGCAAGGACCTGGACGACGCAGCTGCAGCTCACTCTCCCCTGCAGAACGTAACAGACTAAACTGAGGTGATACACCATCCGAGTCCTGATTGCTACTTCAAAAGGCCATTTTGTTAGCCTTACGCTTTGTTCACCCAGCAGGAAAGAGAAATGAATGCACTACATATCAGAAACGTGTGCAGTTTCACTCTACAGCTCAGCATTAAAGTCTCTGAAGACACCAGCTTTCAGCTTTTCTAAAAACTTAAAGTCAGTGAGATTTGCCAAATCCTCTCCGCACATGCTGCATGTTCTCTGATATACACTCAGAGGCAGATTTGGGAGAGAAGAGAAAAGGAGAAGAGTGAGAGAAAAAGAGTTGGGGGTGGTGGGGGTGGGGGGGTAGAACTGGACACATCCAGAATAATCCAAATATGCATGAGCATTCACACACAAAGACTCTGAGGGCAGATGCTTTTGTGAAAAATGACTCAGTTCACATTACATTTATGCTTAATTCATTTTAATAGCAAAGACTGAGTTCTTTATCAATATAGACAGCAATGTGCAAAAGTCAGAGACGACCTTTTTAATTTCTAATCAAAATGTACAAGCTGTTCATATTTCAGGAGATATTTATGAGGAGATTAGATATAAGATGATCCACCTGTATGAGGAAGTTTAAAAAATGGAAAAGCTACAGAGAAAATGAGACTCCTAGCAACCACCTGCAAGAACTGGCAGACCCCCAGAACTGTCCCCATCATATAAACAGCACTCTAATCTTTGAGAGAGAGGAGAAAATCAAGCTGCTTCAGATCTGAAAACATCCACAGGTGTTTCTGTCCATCCTTCCACTGTGAGAAGACGACTCAGCGCTATGACTCTGAAAGGCCAGAGAAGCTGCTGGTGTTCTCCAAACAACAGACCGTCCAGACCTCAACATCACTGAAAGTGATGGTATTATTTGGATCATGAGAAGCAGAGAATGCAACCAACTTCTAAGACTGAACTTTGGAGGTGTGGGAAAAATTTTCCTGCAGATTTCTTTAAAAAACTGAAAGCAAGTCTCCTGAAAAGAATGGGAGCTGTAATAAAGGCAAAGTGTGAACACATTAAATACTGAAATAGTTGATATTTTTTTAGTTGTTGATGCTTCAGTGTGATTTTCTGTTAAATATGTTTTCTGCCTTTTTCCTGATGCTAAAAAACGAAGACAATATACTTCATAGCTGTTTGTTACTGGAAATAAATGAAATAAATGAAGGGTGGTCTCTGACCTTTGCACAGTACTGTACTGTAAGTACACTGTAAAGAACAAGCATCATAAACATTCAACAACTTTGCAACCTTATGATATTCTTCAATGGTAGCATATAGAGAGTACTAATGTTACTGTATGTACACTACTGTTCAAACGTTTGGAACCACTTGTCACATAATGATAGCTGATACCTTATACAGTGTGGATTGAAATGCTATCAACTAGACACCAAAATACACCATTTAAAGTATTTCAGGAACAATGAGAAGAAATGAAATGGCAAAAAGTTGCAGATTTTACTAGATAATCTGTAATAAATGGCAGTTTGATCAGCAGGTTTTTCCTATATAAGGCTTCATACATTTATTATGGAATCAACTTCAGCTCTTTTCAGCATTGCAAATTTCTTCATATTTACATCCTACAAATCATCTGAAACCTATAAAATCTTAGCATCACATCAGAATCATTTTCTACATGCGTTTGCAACAAAATTTGTTTTACATTGATCAAAACAGTGATTCCAAACTTATGAACAGTGAATGCAAACATTTGAAGAGTGGTGTATAGAATTAAAACATCCTAACGAAAAGCCAGGGAATAATCTATTAAATTCTCTGTACTTGATTGGATGCACCAAGTCTCAAAGTGCTGACTTATGACACCGAAATAGGTCCACTGCTTCTTGTTGCTACAGTTATTGTTCGGTGCACTTCTTTAAGGATCCGAGCCAGAAAATAACTGTTCCTTTTTTGTGTACGCTTCACTAGAATTAACGACCCAATCATGAGTCGTTGCATAAATGAATGAATAATTTATGAATGCATAAATTACAATGGCTTCAATACCACATAATGGTGGCAAAGTCCCTCGTGGGATTATAAGGCAAAAAAAAAAACATTGAAAATGAAACTGACCCTTAGCTAACCCCCTCCCAATATACAGATTGTCTAGTCGTAGCTTAGCAACTGTAACTAGGCCCTCTGACAAACTACAAAGTGCCACAGTGGTAACTTGCTTTGTATCAGGAGTTTGGAGTGTGAGGTGAGATTTTATCCATTTCTTTAGATTAAAGACAGAGAAGAGGGGTGTAGGGTCCATATTACATAGAGGAATTAAGCCTGTCATCCATCTGTACTGTGCTGCAAAATCTGCTAAAGCTAACAAAGTCTTCATTGTTATTGTCAGTTAATTAGATTTAATATTTCATCAAGTTGAGTAAATAATGAAATTCATTTAATATGCAGCCACAGGTTTAAACCTGTGAGCCTAAAATAGAGAAATGCATATAATTATGCATGATTATATCTACACTGCAGTACATGCCATTAAAATGGATCGCAATTTGTTGAAGCTTCTCATTTTTTGACTGTAGCTTCTAGCCTTTATCGCTGTTTAGGCTGCTGTTAGAGATGCTAACACCATCTGTGACAAACTTTTGACGTTCTAGTTCTAGCTACTGGGATACAGCTGATCCTGGTTGTAAACATGACAAAGCCAGAGACAGCTGTGATTGGTTGGAGAGTTAATGTCATCAAAAATCGAACAGTGCGTTAATAAAACAGTCGCTGAAAAATCGCATTTGGTGTGCAAGTTGTCCTCAGTTGTACAAGTCGCTGTTGTTGGAAGAAAACCTTGTATCTCCATTTTTGAAGTTTTTCAGTTTTTGCCGTAATTTGAAAATGACTGTTGCCCTTTACATTGTATGTAAATTTCATGATGAATAGACTAAAAGAAATGACCCAAAATTACTTGGAAAAAAGTCTGGTTTCATTGACTTACATTAAAAGTAAAGTAGGTTTTTTCCTTCTCCTGTAAAGTTACCATTTTGGAGATACGAGGTTTTCTTCCAACAGCAGCGACGTGCTTGTTTGAATAAATCGCGACACAAAGGCCTTTAGGCTGCCAAGAGTTCGCAGTGTTACATACCCAGCCTTCAAAGGCAAGCTGGCAATCTTTTACTCTACTTTTATCTAAAAATGATGAAATATAAATGATTACAGAGTAAATCTACTCTTCCAATCGAAAAATCTATTCTGAACATACCGGGCTTGAAAGCTCATCAAACAGTAATAAAGAGGGCGGGGCTTAGCAAAGCGTCAGCTGTTGATACTGGAACGACGTAAGCCTTTAGACAGTAACGCAACAGAAGACCACACCTAATAAAGCACTGGAGTAGGTGAGTCTTCTGAGCTCTCTGTTGCTGGTACAACTGATGCTCTGAATGGGGCTGTAACCAGTGATAAAAACTAGGGTTAAAAACTATGTAGTGACCCAATTCCTTTAATATTGAATTGAGCTAAAGTCAAGTACTAAACTGACTGTATGTATTTTTTTAAAGGTAGGTAGTAAAATCGGTCCAATTTAAAAAATATATCATCGCTGTCGCATCAAAAACCTCCTATCTTTAAAGTGCTAACATCACAGGGGAAGGAAAAGGAGTTTTAAAATTCAGTGAAAAAAAAAACCAACAAAAAATGAGATAGAAGGTTTCGTGACGCTAGGCTTACAATTCAAAATACATCAGTAAAGTACATTACAGTATTTGTTATAGTATTTTAGTATTTTTTTGAGAAAAAAGTAACACAGCATTACTTTTACCACTAAATAAGCTGCATTAGCTGCGCATTCACATTTTACATGTGACTAGTTTAATCATGTTTCTATGAAAGTTTGCTAGCTTAACTGCAGTTGAAATACCAGCATCGCTGGGCTGTTTTCATTTTTCTCTTTAAAACTCCACACTGCAGACATTTAAACCGCCTGTTTACTTCTGAAAGCTGCCAGAAGTTGTGGTTAATGTCTGTTTACATCACCTCGACATCAGTGCAAGCAGAGCATGATGGAGTAAGACAGCCTTAACATGGGGCCGGAATTCATTCAGGCTTAATACAGCAGATACAGATCCATTAAAACATGCTTTTATTGGCTCTATCGCTGATCTTTCCGGACAGACTGGGACATCTCGAGTTAAAACTGGGAGGCTACTTAAAGCTGGAGAGTTTCTGTCCATTAGAATGGTTTGTGTCTTTCTTTCTTACTTCAGTGGTCTTTTTACTTTGGAGGTTCATGGCTACAGTCATCGTACAGGCACGCTGTGTGTCTTCCCAACAGCAGGAATTCCTCTATCCATTACTGCTGTAAAGATTTCTAGACAGTTTTGAAAAATATAAAAGAAAACAAATGTTCACAACACTGTATAGGCTGTACTGTCTCTTCATTTATGTTTCATTTATCTTTTATGGAAACTATAAAACAAGAAATCACTGAAACAGCAACATAACGCTGTCAGACTCAGTGTATTGATTCAGTTTTGAGGGTTTAAAAATGGAGATACAGTATAAGCCTTTATATGTGGCAGTTAAGTTTTTTGGATTTAGTAGTCTTGCAGGGCCAGACAGTCCCGTAATGAGAATCTAGGGACAACTTGCTAAACCTGGCGCTGGACTGCAGGAAGTCCAGTGCAAACAAAAGTACAGCCCCTATGGTATATCCTAGAGGGACTTTTCTGCCATGCTAACTTACATAATGTCCGACAATGGTGACATGCACCGCCTTCACAAGTCTCTGAATAGGGCTTGAAATATTCATTCAGTTCGTTCCCACCTTAATTAGTCTACGCTCCCACCTACACTTAGCCCACAATTTCTCATAGCTGTCCCCAGACATTTTGAAATTATATTTATCTGAATCAAACCTGTCTATGTAGTATATAATTAGAGCTCCGTACAATCAAGACATTTTTTACATTTTATATACATGTAAAATATCAAAAATCAGGTCAAAACTTCAGAATCGAAAATTCATTCTGGATTTATTCTGAAAATGAGTCTCGTTACGCCCCGACCCATCTTCCATGTCCAACTGAAGGCTATTACTTATCTAACTATTAAAGTCACTTGTAAATTCTCATCATACCAGCGGCATCGTCATCATGTCTCATCTGCTGACCCTGAAGTCCATGTGGATGTCTCCTCCTCTCCAACCTCCTCCAAACTAGTGCTCCCACATGCCCCACACCCGGCCCAGCCCCTCATCCCAAACCCCCTCTCCTCAGCCTCGCCTGACTGTGCCTCTCCCTGCTCCTGGATGGTGGGCAGATTGCCCTGCTTGGGGCAGCGCTTGCGCAGACCCAGCAAGAAAGGTTGAGGAAGGGAGAAGATGTCCACATTGTTGCCCAGGTCCACCCAGGCCAGTGCTGGAAAGCTGCCTGGGTCCTTCAGGGCGTCAGTGAGCTGGCGCAGGATGCCGCGGGTCAGCCGGTTGCCGTTAAGCGCCAGGCTCTCCAGTGCAGGCAGGGCAGCCAGCGTGGGCAGCAGAAGCAGCAGGGCATCGTCTGTTAGCTCAGTAAAGCCCAGCTCCAGGCTTCGCACACGGGCGGAGTGGCGCCGTAGATGAATAACCAGACGCTCTGTGTCTCGCCATGAGAGGGGGATGCCGGACAGGTCCAGCGTGCCGCCAGCAGGAGGGGTGGAGAGAACCACCTTCAGACTGAAAGAGAGAGAGAAAGATGATTTTTTTTTTTGTAATGAATACAAGACAAAAACAGTGACCACTTTTCTCCATTCTCCATGATTCTCAATACTGTTGTCTCATTTGAAATGTAAAAAAATGAATTAAAAAAAGCCAAAAATGAATTAATTTTTATTCTGTTTCTGTCAGAAATTTGTAACAATTCATTATTAACCCCTAAGTGTCCAACAACTAAAAGCGGCTGAGTGAGGATCTGAAAATAAAGATAATAGATTCTTCCAAAGCAAGAAGATATCTAAAAACTGCCTGATTGTTACTGTCCCTGTTTGAAATGTTAAGAAGAACTGCTGAAGTCAATACAAGATCTGAAAGACCAAGAAAAACCTCTGAAAAAACTGCATGTAGACTGCAGGTATGCAAAACTCCCACATCACTGCCAAGGACCAAGAGGAAGATTTAGCTCACACTGGAATTGTGATGCAGAGTTGTTGGACAAACCTAATCTATGCGGCTCATCAGAAGTTAACCTTAACTGTGATCTCTAAACCAGAGACCTTGTGAAATATAATGTACAAGGGTATGTTTAGACAAAGTAAGGAGCAGCATTTGATGAAAAAGAACATCTTGCCAATTGTTAACCACAGAGGTGGGTCTATTATGCTTTGGGTCAGGCCCAGATCATTGAATGGGTTTTATGAGGCATGTGCCTGGGTCACGAACCACCAGGGGACCCCGGCAAACAATTATAATATAAATATAATAAAAATACAGAAAATATAAATGCAAAAAATGTACCAATCTGTCATTGTGTCATGGCCAATCATAATTCACATACCCTCCATGTCTTTCCTAAACGTCCATTTTCTCCTCCAATCACTGCTTAGCAACTGTTGCACTGCCAATCTGCCATTACCTTGGTCAAGCTTTCAGGTTCTCAGCAGTGAAGTAGTGCCTTTTAATGTACTTTGAATTTGAAGCTTTACATATTCAAAATATGTGCCAGGGGATCTATAAAAAGGGACCTGACACCTCAAGAGAGTAGAGGATGACCATTTCCAAAGCCAAATATAAGTCAGCCACCTGAGTTAAAGAAAAAAATTGCATCCTTGTCATCAGTGATCTGCAAACTTTAGCGCATAAAGTCATTAGATGTAAGATATAAATGAGAAAGAAAAAACTTCCACACCTGATGCAGTATGCATTAGATAGGATGCTTGACGGTTTGGTTATTTAAGTATGTTATTTTTTGTCTTTATTATGTACATTTCAGTGGTTCGATTTTAATAAGTGTCGTCTACATTGGGGCAAATGTGTTGCCTGTCAAGAGCGGCGCATGCTTTATTGGGAAATGTTGTATTGTTGTATTGGTTAACCTGTGTTCTCGTTAATGTGTGCCTAATCTTGCTACTGTTTTGTTGCATTTGGAAAAATGATGCACTTATAATAGTGATGTGCAGTTAGTATGCTGCTATCGTGGTGCTGCAGGTTTTATAACCTGTTGTAATATAAAAAAAAATTACTAACCATGCAAGAAAGGTAGTCAGTATGGGCCCACCAAATATTTGTGCCCAGGGGTAGATAACTAGATGTTCCAGGCCTGCTTTGAGTTTGTGTGGCAACCAGTGGCACAGGAAATGTTGTGGGGAACGAGGAAAGAAAGGATTCTACTAAATAACAAATCATGGATGTCCCACAGTCAATAGTGGCTTTTCCATCCACCAATTTTTTCTAATAACCAGAATTTCAAAAAACACCAAAATATCACAAATAAGTTAAAATAAGCCGAAATGCAAAAAAGGGTGCTGGAAAAGGGTTTTTCGAATAAGCGCTGACATATCAAGCCAAATCCAAAGCCTGTTTGAAAAATGCCTGCCAGAATTGTCTGGTGCATTGGACGTCTTCGGGGTGGTGCGGAGATTTCCGCTCTCGTTAGGTGAGCCACTGCTCTTCTAGTCTTTGTCTCTGAGCTGAAAACATCATAAAATATGGCAAATGGCTGTAAAGATAGAATTCTACTTAAAGGAAAAAAACGAGTTAAATATTTCCATCTTGCCTGTTTTGATGCAACCCCTATGTCTTCTAAAGTTTCTTCACATAACTGTAGTGGATGGTTGACATGACTTAATTCGCTTTTTTCCCTGTCGAAATTTTGTAAATGTGCGTAACATTTGTAAAACGTTTGAATGGAAACCCGGCCAGTGAAGGACACTGAAGAAGACAAGTAGCTGGATATTTCAACAAGACATGATTAAAAACGTACATCAAATCAACCTTGAACTACTTTTTATAGTTTTTTGGGCTTCACTGTCCCCAGACTTGAATGAGGGTAGATCTGAAACATGATGTGCATGTAATATTTAATACACAATATTAAATACGTATTATGTAATATTTAAGTTTGTTCTAAAAAGAGGTGGTTTTAACTTTTTTTATTTAGAAAATATTAGTCCAAAACTTTTGCATACAACCTTAAATTCAATAAAAACAACAACTTTTTAACTAGAATGTGTGGTCATGACTAACATGTGTTGCGGACCACTGAGGTAGAGGAAGAAGAACAAGAACATTAAAAGCTGTGAGCGAGAAACAGCAGAGAAAAATGACAGAAGAAAGAACAGCCCATATGTCAGGAGCTAATTGGTGCAGAGGAGAGACAGTTTGCATACTCGTACAGAGACGGTGTCACAATAAGACGTATAAGCCTAGAAGTTAAAGCGTTTCAGAGTCTGAGAGAGAGACAGAGAAGCAGCAGGAGCTCTCAGCATTTACAAAGCCCAATCTGAAATGATGGGTCTTACCTTAAAAGAGCTTCCCACACAGATAATATAACTGTCACATAAACACACATACAGATATACACAAAAGAGTAGGGACCCATAGACACACAGGTCACCCCCGAGGGAAACACACACACACACATAGTCCACTGGGTTCAGTGTAAACAACAAACTGCGTGCTTCCATACCAACATCATATGGATGAGTCATAACAGGAAGCGCTGTTCTGTTTTATTTGTCTTTATACCAAAGTTAGTTCTGTCAGCACATCTGATTGGTCATTTCACAACTGTATTGTTTCGCTGAGCATCGTTTGCTAATTAACGACTGCTTTGCAGCTAATCGTTATTCCGCTTCTACTTTACCCTTTTTATGTTTAAAAGCAATTGAACACTTGAGGTCATGTGTTATTACAAAAAACATCACCGCATCTGTGATAACACCTGACCTCAGTGTTCTTAGGCCCAGTCCCGTTTCACCCCTCGCCCCTACCGCTGAGCCCTTAGCCGTCCGTTTTTTTTCACGTTCACATCAAGGGGTAGGGTGTCCTGATTTTAGTTGAGATAGAGGGGTAGGGCAAAGTGTTAGGGCTACATGGCCCTCCAAACAGAGGTTTTTCAGAGTCACCCTCCAAACAGAGTTATAAGAAAAAAAGAAAAACCGGCAAGATGGCTGCATGAGCGACCAAAGAAACCCATAAATGTATTTTCTCTGTTAAAAGATTGTGATAACCATTGTATCATCTTAGTTTAATGTCGTTTCAATGTATTTTGGTCCTTTTCTTCATAACAAGCATAAAGATTTGCTAATAGTATGCTAATGTCTCAGTAGCTAGCCAGCTAAATTTCCCGTTCCACCTTAAATGGAGTAGCACTTGCATTCTGGCGCCTCAGGCATCAGAACTGCTGTATTATTTAAGGTGGAATGGGAAGATTCAAACAAAAAGCTGGTGAATAGCTGACTTCAGCTTCATATCACTGAAGAATTAGGGGTGGGAGATAATAAATAATTGTCACTTCCTCCCCTTTGAAAGCATATGATACCCTAAATGTAACTAAAGCCCAGCAGTGAGGAGCTGAACTTTACCCTCCCCTGCTATCACTGCAGACTGGCAGGGTCACCTACAGAGCAGCGCTAGTAGCTGTTGATGAAGTAATGCTCTTTTTATTTTGAGGGTTGTTCCATTTCATAGGGGAAGATTTCAACCACCACCCCTTCTAACTCAGTTGCAAGAGGCAAGGTGACGCTCGAAAACAAGGGGTAGGGGTCAAGTAAGAAATGAGATTGGGCCTCAGAGCTGGGCAACATGACAATATTTATCGTTATCATGATAAATTACTTAAATAAGCATATTGTGACATACTGTGATGTAATTTATCACAATAACGATAAATACTGTCATCTGTGCCCATAATCAGATATCATCAGTACTTAAAAACACTTCCCAGTTGTGTGTTTGGTTAAAGAGAGCATAATTAGTCATGTCGAACTGGCTTTACTGCAGCACAGTGTGTGAAAAGTTGAACACAAGTAATTGGTTTCATAGTTTTGGTAGTATTTTTAAAATGTGGCACTATTTTGTCTGTTCTAACTTATCAGATGTCAGAAAAAATAAATATCGTGACCCATCGTAACTCGTGAAAAACTTCCTAAAGTATCATAATATTGCATTTTGCCATTTCGCCCCCAGCTCTAAGTGTTCTACTGCTTAAATCTAAGCTACACTCTTGTATGTATGGACGAGACCAGACATAAGGGTAGAAGGATGTAGGGATGAATGGAGAGGAGACCAGAGATAGAGAGATAGTAGTAGGGATGCATTGATCCAACTTTTTCTCTCCCAATACTCCCAAATCTGACATCTGAACTCAGGGTGTAGATTGATAACAAATACACTGCCAGCAATGCAATGCAATGTATTGTATACATCTGGAACCTATGCACACATTTGAATCAAGTAAATTCAAAGCAACAAGTTGTGTTTTATTGCTAGGTAGATGAACACAAATATACATACAGTTTAGCACAGGGGTCTCATACCTGGGACTCTTACCTGGGACCACTAGTCCAAACAATGCTGAACAACTGCAATAAAAATATGTTCCACATTTTTCTGAGATATGTAGTTTAACTGGTCATTTAAGCATATCTTTTTGAAACCTCAAAGAACAGCTGTTCAAGACTTGCTTAAATAACTTGTCAGTTTTTTTATATGAAATGTAGTTTTTGAGTTTTCATTTC